AGACCACAGCAGTGAGAGGCCTGTGGTCTCGCCCGTTGCGGAGCACAGGCTCCGGACGCGCAAGCTCAGCGGCCATGGCTCACGGGCCCAGCCACTCCGCGGCACGTGGGATCTTCCCGTACCGGGGCACGAACCCGTGTCCCCTGCATCGGCAGGCGGACTCTCAACCACTGCGCTACCAGGGAAGCCCTCTAATCTCATTTTTAAATAGCATACTTACAAAGCACTTTATTCTTCAGGTCGAACATTCATAAGCCTCGGCAATATGCTAAAAACTATGCAAATTTTATTACTTAACTTTAAAAATATATCTTTTTAAGGTTGCTTAAGTTAGTACTGGAATGGACCATAGATTTTAACTAATCCAGTCCCATAAACTAAGACCTAGAGAGGTTATATAATTTTTATAACACTCATAATAGTTGAAAATAGCCCTGGACTGAAGTTTAGCCCTATCGCTATTATGATAATTTTTAATATACCATATATTCATGCAAGTAACTTTAAATTATTTAATAGGTTAAAGGCCTTCTTATCAAAAAAGAAAGAAAAAGGTATTTTTTTTAGTAAGTCTTACTAATGCCAGGCACTGTGTTATCTGTGTGCATAAATAAAATTTGTCATTTAAACTTCTCAAAACTTCTGAGATAGGTACTATCATTATTCCCATTTCACAGATGGAAACATGGGCTTAGAGAGGTTAGGCCATTAGCTAGAAGTAATGTAGCTAATGAGAGATGGAGTTATAATATATAGTCTAAATATAGTCTGATTTTAGAGCCTGTATTTTTTCTTAATCACTTAGCTATCCTGCTTCTTCTTCGAAAAAGTATTTGTGTAATCTTTTACCACAGATAATAGTATGGGGAATTTCAAAATAGGAAGCAATTCAAATAAAAAATAGCAGGAGAAATTAGTCAACAAACACCTGGGGAAAGAGGACACACAAGGGAGTTTCATTTCTCTTCTAATAAGACTCCAAATGCCACAGATAAGAAAAAACAGCCAAACTGGAATGTCCTTTACAGTACCCTTCAGAAAGGGTAAGGTGTGCCACTAAGGAGTAAAGAATGAAAAGGTCCACAGGAAAAGAAAAGACTACTTTTATCACATTTAGCTTGGATGATAAGTAGTAATATTTACTACTGTCCACAGTTTACCATTTTATCTAAATATACAGCGACCCACCCTGGACTGATGGCTTCTTCAGGAACACTGAGAGAATTTGAAATATGGGAATCCAGATAATCCTGCATTCTTCGAGCATCCATTATAATCAAGCTGATGTTTTTATCCATCCTCATTGTGTAAAGCTCCTTTGCTGTGATTGCTCCTTGGAATCGAGAGAGACAATATAAGTGACAAGAAACATCTAGTTCCGTGTGCTATTATATCACTAAATACAGGACAAGCATAGCTTTTCCTAGAAGTGTCATATACTTGCTATTCTGTCATATCATTTATTACCTTTTAAACTAATTTTAAATACAATTTATGTTTTTGACATTTATCAAAAAACTAGTTCAATGCTTTGTTTATAAAGACTTAAATACCAAAACTTGCTGGTGATGTTACAACTACATCTGGTGTGGGCTCTGCTGCTGTATAAAATAAATTAGTATGGGTGTCTCATGAAAATATTCTATTTTAAAAAATCAAGCTATTTGAAAAATGTCAACCAGAAGAAATACCTGTGGTTCAAAAGTTCTTGAAAGGCTCTAAATTCTTTTTTAAAAGTCTCCATGGGGTCTTATGGGGGCTATCTGAAAAACTTATAGGTTTCCTAGAATAATAAGCCAGAAGTTTGTTATCTGTGTTCCACATCTGGGGTTGGTAAACTATGGCCAGTTATTTTCACTGGAACACAGCTACACTCTTTTGTTTACATATTGTCTATGGCTGCTTCCATGAAAGGACAACAGGGCCCCCCAAGCCTAAAATGTTTCATATCTAGCCCTTTAATATTTAGCCAAAATAAATATTCCCTATATTGCTATTTTCCTCTTCTAGGTTCTACCACCTGAAGTGAAAGATTAAAAAGCACTAAAAGGAAGCTTAAATATGGAAAGAACTATTTCAGCAGTAAGCTGTACGAAGAACACAGTCATACCATCTCCTAAGCTAAAATACCCAGTTGCTAATAACCATCTTACTTCCCTTTCTAACCATCAAGATCATTCTGATAACAAAACAATCTAAAGTGGAGAACAAACCACCAAGACATGCAACACCTAAGCAGGGTGAGATACAAAGGAACATGTGGATAAAAACTAATCTTAGGGCTTCCCTGGTGGCACAGTGGTTAAGAATCCGCCTGTCAATGCAGGGGACACGGGTTCGAACCCTGGCCCGGGAAGATCCCACACACCGCGAAGCAACTAAGCCCGTGCGCCATAACTACTGAGCCTGCGCTCTAGAGCCTGCAAGCCACAACTACTGAGCCCACGTGCCACATCTACTGAAGCCCGTGTGCCTAAAGACCCTGCTCCGCAACAACAGAAGCCACCACAATGGGAAGCCCGCACACTGCAACAAAGAGCAGCCCCTGCTCACCGCAACTAGAGAAAGCTGCGCACAGCAACGAAGAACCAAAGCAGCCAAAAATAAATAAATAAAATAAATAAATGTATATATAAAAAAAAACAACTAAGAATGAATTGATAACAGCTTTTAGGAAGGTACCTTACTACACTCAGTTTTATTTTTTAAATTGTTGTATGGAAACATTTTAAATAGATAATTTTAGTGTTACATACAATTAATGTTTAAATTAAACCTTTTCTGAGAGAGGAAAACTTAGGCAACTGCCTAATAAGTCTTGTTGTTTAGGTCACGTACTTGTTACTGGAGCATCAACACCACCTACGGATAACATCCAAATTACTGGTTTAGATTTTTTTTGAGGGGAGTGAAAAAGCCTTTAAATATTTAAGTTTTCCACTTAAAAGTCATAAGTACTAACAGCTACTTATATGAAGTTTACTGTGTTCTAAGAGTGTCACATATATTAACTCAGTCAATTCTCACAATAACACTATGAAATAGATGCGATTATTATTCCCACCTTACAGATGGTGAAACTAAATTAGAAAGGTGAAGTAATAAGCTCAAGATGACATGCAAACTCAGAGGAGCCTGTATTCAAACCTAGGAAGTCTGACTTCTGAGAGTCCATGCTCTTAACCACTATGCTAAACTATATCTTGAAAAAAAGCAATGACAAGTACCAACGGTGGTTTTCATGTTTTCAAATGCATATTGCCATAAATATTCCCCATGACATGTAAATACAGAATATAATACATTTTCAATATTATTGTACAGGTTAGGAAAAATGATAAAGCTCATAAACTAAACACAATGCTAAGAATTTCATTGTGTAAAATCTGAAGCTTATTCTGATTAAGAGATCTCAATAATAGCCTAAAAGAACTCCCTCTTTCTGTGCACACTTACCTTTCTCTGTAGTCTCATTTTTTTCACTCTTTTCACCATTTATCTATTTCATAAGAAAAAAAAGTTTCAACTTTAATAGAAACACACATTTTTATAGAAAGAAAAAGTTCAACTTTAATACTTCTTTGAAACTGAAAGCCTTCTAGGAAATGAAATGTGCAGAGTACTGGCATTTTATAAAAATACAGATGAACAGTAATGGCATTAACAGATTACTCTGATAACTAAAATTAACTAGTAGCATATCACAATCATATGTCATTTCCTCAAAATTTTCTCCAGTGAAAGACCAAATATGATTTCAAAGCACAGATTATTAGAGAAATTTAGTATTTAACTTAACGAGAGAGCACTTCTTATAATGAAATAAAAATTCTGGTCAATCCCTTCAGTGTCCTCCATTACAGAATTAAAGGAAAATGAAGTGATACAAAGTTTTATAAATTTGCATTTCCTAACCAAGATAACATGGGATAATTCTCTAAGGTACTAACTCATTTCATAGATGGGAAAACTAAGGACCCCACTAGAACCTACTGATCAATTTCTACATCACTAAAAGTAAAAAAGAAAAGAAATATATATTATGTGCCTCCTAATATGATACAGTATGCAGTACACAGTATCACCTATGAAGCATTCTGGCCAAAAAACAAAAACTGAACCTCAATCTAATTAAGCTTTTAGATTGAACTTCCAGCCTACAGGAAATATAGGAGACAGAAGAACAAGTTAAGTGACATAAGGAGGAAGTAATCAGACAAACCTACAATGTGACTGATTTTACAGAACTGATCTAGTATTAAAAAGCCAAATGCAGGAAATGAAAAATGAGAAGGAAACTCAATCAGAGAATGCTATAGAGACTTCAGAGAAATTGCAACCAAAAGACAATGAGTGGACCCTGTTTGGATCCTGATTCAAACATACTGACTCTGAAAAATCATTATGAGCAAGTGGGTAAAATATCTGAATAGACTGGGCTTTAGATTATATCAGGGAATTATTGTTAATTTTGTGAGGTGGGAAAATAGCACTGCGGTTATTAATATAATGTTCCTTTTGGACTTCCCTAGTGGCACAGTGGTTAAGAATCTGCCTGCCAATGCAGGGGACACAGGTTCGAGCCCTGGTCCGGGAAGATCCCACATGCTGCAGAGCAACTAAGCCCGCGTGCCATACCTACTAAGCCTGCGCTCTAGAGCCCGCAAGCCGCAACTACTGAAGCCCGTGCACCTAGAGCCCATGCTCCGCAACAAGAGAAGCCACTGCAATGAGAAGCACGCACACCACAACGAAGAGCAGCAACTAGAGCTGCAACTAGAGAAAGCCCACACACAGCAACAAAGACCCAATGCAGCCAAAAATAAAATTAAAAAAAAAAAAAGCTTAAAAAAATGCTTCTTTCTTTGAGATGCATACTGAAATATTTAGGGGTAAAATGATATGTTGTCTGGAATTTGACTGAAGACGTGAGAGGTGCAGATAAAAAAACATGGCAAATGTTAGTTGCTTACTGAAGCTGGGTGACAGGATTTAACTGTATTCTCTTTTCAACATAAAAAGGCTAAACAAGGGCTTCCCTGGTGGCGCAGTGGTTGGGAGTCCGCCTGCCGATGCAGGGGACACGGGTTCGTGCCCAGGTCCAGGAAGATCCCACATACCGCGGAGCAGCTAGGCCCGTGAGCCATGGCCGCTGAGCCTGCGCGTCTGGAGCCTGTGCTCCGCAACGGGAGAGGCCACAACAGTGAGAGGCCCGTGTACCGCAAAAACAAAACAAAACAAAAAAACGCTAAACAAAAAAGTAAAGGTAATGAAAGGTAGTTGGCCCTGCTGTTGGAAAAGCAACAAAACGAAGAATTTGAAAAGTCCCTTTCATACAGTTCTTTGGAATCTTTGTATTTTTTTTTATCAGCCATTTGACCTATAAATGAACATGTCTCTAAGGCAGTACTATTAATCTCACATTATGAGTTCCTAAAATCAAAAGACCGATTTCTTCACTTCCTTTTACATAGTGCCTAGCCCAATGTCACAAGCAATTCAACTACTACTTCTTAATGAAATCAGCGATAACCCACATACAAGTGATAGTTGAAAGCTACAAAATGCTTAAGAAAAATTAAATTAGAAATCTTTCCATAAATTTCAACAGTGCAGAAGAAATTATATTTTAGAAAGAATAGTTTCTGAGGAGGTGAAGGGAGGGAGATACAGTGACAGCTAGCAGGTACAGGTTGAGTCATTAACAGTTTCTGGCAAACAAATTATGTAGCTGAAAAGACTACAAGTAGTCGCTGAACAAATGGAACAAGAGGGAGAGAAAGAGGAAGGGGAAACAGGCAGAGAAAGGAGTAAAAAGCAAAGGGGAGAGAATGAGATGCCAGAAATAGAAAAAAAGTTTCACACCAAATAAATAGTGTACCAAATCTTTCCCTAATGTAAATTACATTTATTAGAAAGGAGAGACCTTAAAGATCATCTATTTCAAGATCTTAATTGGCCAAACTGAGTCCCAAAACAGTTAAGCAAGACTTGATATGGGACCAGAACTCAGATATACTGAATCACAGCCCAAATGCTCTTTCCACTGCTCCAGTCAAGTCTATAGTGACTGCTAAAAACTAACAAATACACACAACATATTTCTTTAGAAGTTTCAAGAAAAACCTGGAATCAACTAAAGCTAGAATAATTAATTCAATTTCTAATAAAAACACATTAAATTTTATCCTTTTTGCCCAAAAGAATGATATAGTGGTATCTCAACTCTTCTTAAGCAAATCATCTGACAAAAAGAACCAGTCTTTTTACCTAGCAGAATAAATCTGAAATACCTTGTGGGCTTTGTCTTTGGCATCCAATACATTTTCCAAAGAACTTTTAGCTGATGTGCCACCATCCTCTCTTCCTGTTTCCTGCCTTTTCTGTTTCTGCAGCTGCTCTTTCTCCTGTCTGTCCTTTTCTTCAAGTTTTTTCCGAACTTCAGCTTCTTCATATCTAGTTGAAAAAAGAAGTCAGCATGTCTTTTATTGGCATGATGGTGGAAAGTAAAGGATTTCCAGTTGTATAAAGTTAATATCCTGCCATGAGGTATTTTATGGCTGCATTCTTTCTCCCTCCAGTTGAAATTCAACTCTGCCAGTGTTCCATTATAAATCACAACTCACAAATTTGTCCTCTGTAGATTTATTTCAAATTGCTCAAAAATCTTGAAAAGAAACTCTATGCTCTCAAGTTGAAGTTGTTCAATATTCTTTTTGCTCTTTCTCTCCCACTAATTTCAACAATCCTAAAATCCTAAAATTAACTATAAAGCCCGATTTACTTATAAAATAGCTCAAAATACAAAAAAGTACAGACAATAAATAAGTGAAAGAACCTAAAGCCCCAAAGATAGAGGAGTAAAGAACATGATTATTGCTAGCAGTAGTATGATTAGGGAAAAATTAGGCAATCTAAGAGAGAAGAGTTAATAATGGGTAACCCAAAGATTAGGAGAAATTCTATTCTACTTAGTTGATTAACTGGCTAAAGGAAAAAGAGAATAGTAATTCTAAATGACTTCATCCACCTTAACATATTCCAGCCCCAAGATTAGTAATTGTGGAAAGGACCAAGGAACACACTAGTTGAAAAAGATAATTTCTAAGTAAAGGCTATGATACATACAGGTATCTCTGCTTTTCAGACGTTTTCTTTATGCCACTTCGCTTTTACAAAAGACCTACATTAGTACTTGTTTTTACTAACCGAAAGAAATCTGAAGAGGATATTCACTTATGGAAAAAAGGTGAAAAATGAAAATAGCGTTTAGCAGTTGTTTTGCAGCCAGCTGTTAGAGAAGTAGCCACACCCTGATCAGAGAGTGGCACCGCCAAGCTCCTTCCCCAGGAATTACACAAGCATCTCAGCATCAAGCTGCCATAGCTTTGAACTGTGTCTGTGAGCATCTGTGCTTTATCTTGATTTATTTTGTGCATCTTGTAGCAAGACGTGTCCTGAGGTAGTTGCTTCTTTGCCTTACGCCATTTTGGCTTAGGTAAAGTTTCATAGGAACACTTTACTTTCAGATAGCAGGGGAAAACCTGTGTAACTATAGCAGTTAACTGATCCAAGTTTAAAAAAACTAGTGGAGTAAAAATAGTTCCCTTTTAATTTTGTTATTTAAAGAGTGACTAATGACTAAAAATTGAAACATACTGTTTTTAATTTCTAATTATTTTATAAGCCTGGTAAGTCAGTCATGGCAAATACTAGAGTTAGATTTTTTTTTTAAATATGTAACTTCTGCAACCAGGCAAGTCAAAACTAACATTAAATACTTCATTCCCACAAGTCCAGTGTCCAGTAGCACATTATGACATGAAGCATATGAGAATATTATGTTTTTCTGAAGAATCGTGTCAGAAACTTAGAAAAAACTGGACCTGAGCTATAATCTAATAGACCAATGCTTATCTTAACAATGTATTAGTCTAAACATTTAAAAATTTTCAGTAAAGAACATTAATGGTAACACATGAATATAAGACTTCTTCTTAGGAATTGGGATTTATATGCATGGTCATATATAAATGGACAAATTCTAAATATAATTTTAATCTTCTAAATTTACATTCTTTTAAAGATTTCATAATAGTGTCTGTACCTGAGTTTAAGGCTTTCAGAGAGTCTCTCAGCTTCTTCAATAGCTTTTTTGATGTTTGCAGGTCCAAGTATTGAATGAAAGTAGTCCTAAAATTATAGGAAAACCATCTTATACTGTTAGTACTAGCCACTGTACATAGCACTAATGCTAAAAACACAAAATTATGGTGTTCATATAAACAAAAGTTTAGATAAAAATATTATGACTGAATGAAATATTTCTTAAAACTTTTAACCTACAAAAGTGTACAACTTATTCTCCAATTGTTTCAAAAATATTTTTTCATACTATTAGTACGTTAAAAAAAAAAAAGCCGGTAGGTAATAATTTTACTTATTTGTAAGGCACCTTTACGAAGTGTAAATACTATTATTGTTTTTTAATAAGTGCCAAAAAGCAAACCATATATGTTAGGAGCAAAATATATTTTCCTACTGTAAATATGTTACTTAGTTTTTTCTTTTAGTCTCAGAAGCAGTAAAGCAAATTCTGTATTGATCCACAGCATAGAATTTGTTTTGTTTTACTTGTTTTAAACTGAGATGTTTCCTTCCACCTGTATTTTATAATACCTACCTACCTCCCAACTGGAGTCAAATCACTTTAGACATAAAACAAGTTTTACACTTGAGGAAACCCTGAATAACTAAAAATCAAATGGTAGAAAATAAATCAACAGTATGATCTACGTTAAAACACACACATACATACACAAAAGATTTAGCACATAATTTATTAACAAGCATAATGAATTGAAAAAAATAAATCACTTCCCTAAGGGGTCACTCATTAGATCTTGCAATCAGAGATAATTCCAAATCAAGTCTGGTTTAACATGACAGTAGTGCAGTGAGACTCAGCTAACTGACTAGTGGATCTAACTTGCTGCAACTTATCACTATGACTTTGCAAATAGAGCCTACTAACACAGTTTATCACAAATGATACTGTAACCAGAAGTTATAAAAAGAAAGGCCAGGAGGCCAGAAATATCCATCTCTGGCTGTTTGAGAGGCAGTTACGAAGAGCTGATAAGATAGATCTGTTGATAACAGTTATCCTATGTCTGTCTATCTAGCCTAAAGGTAGATCATGTTTTATTTGATTTTATTCTTCTAGATTAGAGATAAAATATATAAAAGGGCCATTCATTATGTAATTTTTAATAAAAGTATATAGTTTGTTCAATATTATATCAACTAAAAATTACAGTGGAAACTGTAATCACTTCCATGATTCCTTCCACAATGTCCTGACTTCTGATGCAATACTTTTTTAAGAGAAAACAAAATTAGCCATTACTGTAATATTTCTCTGATAAAAACAAAATACAAAGTAGAACCAAAAAACACTATAACTTTTTTTTAAATTAATTTTTATTGGAGTATGGTTACTTTATATAACTTGTTTTATTAATTTTTTGACATGAACTCATTTAAAAGCCTAGCTTAACACTGCTGAAATGCTGAAAAAATCATGTTTGGGCATGTCTGGTACAAACGCCCAGAAGACACTCCTCTAATATTAATGAGGTTTCTTGTCAATAATTACCTCTCTCTGTGCTCTTAAAGGAACACAGTTGGAGTAAGTATAATTTTTTTCCAATTTTCAATAGTATTAACAATTGGCAGAAAAAAAAATGTCCAATTCTTACACAACTGAAAACATTTGCTTCTTAGGTTTACTTAGTAGAACTTTCCTACTCCTGAACACACAAATTCAAGCAATTCTCATGATTTCCCAAACAAAATGGTTCACTACTAATAATATTTAGCATTAATTATCATGATTGCCATGGCTATTTAAAAATATTCTAACTGTATCTAGACTTTGCTATACTAATATTTTCAATATATTTGCCTTCTCCCTCTTCAAATAACCCTAAAAAAATTGTTCATAAACTAATTTTTTCAATGAGTAAACAATAATGTAATGTGTTTTCTACTATTGAGCTTGCTAAATTAACAAGTTTTATCTAAATCTTAGTGTAAAACAAGTGAAAAATGTAGGTTTCTGAAGAAGGCTGGTCACATTACATCCTGTCACTTCCTGATTTAAAGGGTAAAACCCAGAAAATATGTAGTTACTAAATTTAACACTTCACATACTTAAAATGCACTGGAGACGTTGAGCTAAATAAAATAAAACAAAAAACAGTTCTAAGACAGAAGCAGATGTGGTACCCTGGACAGAGCAAATGGAAACAGTCCCTTTACTAATATCAGGAACTGAACATCTACAGCATATGAACAGGCTGGGTTACTTGAGCCTTTGCAGGGAGCTTCCTAACCCGAACAACTCCTGCCACTTTCAACTAGATACTCTCTTTGGAAGTGCAATAGATACTCTGTGGAAATGGAAAAATTTCTTACTGATTAAAATTTACTCCCAACCTTCTCAAGTTAAAAAAAAAAGGTAGCTACAAAACCACTCCCAATCTTGCCAAAGAAAAAAAGTAACCAGTAAGTTAGAAAAATAAAGCAAAAATTAAATAAGTACATAAAAAATTGGCCCTACCACAACAGACAAGGAAACACCAAAACTTCCGAAGTTCTCCAAATTCGCAAATCTTTCAAAAATATTTATTTCAGTAAATACTTTTACACTTCTTTTTAAGCAGTATCTTTTTTTTTAAAATTTCTGACAGGGTTCAGATTTATGTTATTTTTCAGATTTATGTTTTAATAAATAAAATATACATTTACAATAGTAATAAGCAGAATAATTGCCACCATTCATTCATTCACCCATTCAATATTTATAGAATACTTATAGTATGACAGGAATGATAATACAAGACTTATCTTCGATTCTTATAGCAGCCCACCAAGGAGGTTCCCTTTAGAGATGAACGTACTGGGGGGGCTCAGGAAAGATGAAGTAAGAGCCCAAAGTAAGAGAGCACATTCCCAACCTAGGTCTACTCTACCCCAGTCTGTGATGTTTTTGTCATGCCACCAGGGTCTTCCGGCACTGGGTTTCTCTTTATTATCTCATAAATAAGCCAAACTTTTATTATTTTATTTTATTTTATTTTATTTTGTGGTACCTCTCCCATTGCGGAGCACAGGCTCCAGACACGCACGCTCAGTAGCCATGGCTCACAGGCCCAGCCTCTCCACGGCATGTGGGATCTTCCCGGACCAGGGCACGAACCTGTGTCCCCTGCATCGGCAGGCAGACTCTCAACCACTATGCCACCAGGGAAGCCCTAAGCCAAACTTTTAGTTGTGGGTAGTCCTTCATATCCCATAGATCATGTATATAGCAGAGTAGCTTTTATTCAATTTTATGTTGGGCAGAAACAACATGACTCAAAGACTCTCTGAGTAAAATGACCATTACATCATTGTTGTTTTCTTTTTTTTTTTTTTTTTTTTTTTTTTTGGGTTTCTTACTGTTGTGGCCTCTCCCGTTGCGGAGCACAGGCTCCGGACGCGCAGGCTCAGCGGCCATGGCTCACGGGCCTAGTCGCTCCACGGCATGTGGGATCTTCCCGGACAGGGGCACAAACCCGTGTCCCCTGAATCGGCAGGCGGACTCTCAACCACTGCGCCACCAGGGAAGCCCCATTGTTGTTTCCTGAAACCTTCCAGTGGGGTTAGGAAAAATATCAGTGATGACAGAAAGTATTAAACACATGAACCGTATCCTGGCTCTAAGCAGTATCTTTTTAACAGATACTGTAAAAACCATCAAAGGGTGAGCAAGACAAGCCTCTGTCTCTATCTGCAGATAAGCATGTCCAAGAATGTTCCAAGGGCAGGACCAACCCAACCATTTGTAGACAGGAAGATGAATCTCCAAATGCAAGGAGCTACCTTTCCAAAGCTAGATCTAAAACCCCATAAAGATTATCAGCATAATTTTGCTGGTGAGAAGAAACACCAGCAATCATTTGTCACCATTAAATAAAACATTAAAGTTATCCCATAACCAACAACCGAAAGAAATTTTATTAGTCCCACTACTGTGAACAAAAAAAGGTTATTTCGAAGAATAAGATAACTTTTTTTTTTTTCACTTCTGTAAGTCAATTTAAATGAGGCAGGAAGATCCCACATGCCGCCGAGCAACTAAACCCGTGCGCCACAACTACTGAGCCTGCGCTCTAGAGCCCGTGATCCACAACTACTGAGCCCACACGCCACAACTCCTGAGCCTGCACTCTAGAGTGCATGCTCCGCAACGAGAAGCCACCACAATGAGAAGCCTGCACACTGCAACGAAGAGTAGCCCGTGCTCACTGCAACTAGAGAAAGCCCATGCACAGCAACGAAGACCCAACGCAGCCAAAAATAAATAAATAAAACAAATTAAAAAAAAAATTTGAATGAGGCAAGACAATTCTGCCAAAAGTGAACTAAATAAAAATCTCAATATTAACTCGAGAATGGCTTGTCTTGGACTTCCCTGGCAGTCCAGTGGTTAAGACTCCATCCACACTTCCAACGCAGTGGGCATGGGTTTGATCCCTGGTCAGGGAACTAAGATCCCACATGCCACATGCTGTGGCCAAAAAAATAAAATGGCTTGTCTACCAGGTAAGAAATCTATAAGCAGTATTTTGCTATTATTCTCTAGTAGCAAGATCATTCCTAGGTAAAGGTGGAAACACCAACACAATATTCTTCCCATTTCTTTAACCCACTCTCTATTTTCTTCTTTTGTCTGTTTCTGGTGTAATAAAAATGCAACCTCTTCTCTAGCAACACTTATCCTAGTCATCAGTTCTCTTTACCCATTTACACCTCTCCCATCCTCCCTCCCTCCTCACACTTCAGCAAATTGGAAGAAAGGCACCTGGCTCAAAAGATTAAAAGCAAAAAATAATAAATAAATAGATAAAAATGAATATCTAAATTAAATAAATTAATCAACATTAATTTTGCAAACTGAGATCTTTAATATGGCTAGTGTCAATATAAAAAGCTGTCACATAAAAACAAGTGACTAAACCTTGACCCTTGAAAAAGTACAACTATAGTCATATTTTTCTTATTGAATGCATGAGTAAACTAAATCCTTCTATTTGACCTGGCAGTGATTTATTACAACAGAAGACTAATCATGAGTCTGTATGTTGCTATAAACCTGTACTAATCCACAGCAAATTAAGTATGTGTATATAGTGTGAGTGTAACCATACATATACACATATATTGCAAATAATGAAACAAAATCTTTAGTTTGCTTTTTCGATCTGCAGAAGTTTGAACTTGCTGCTACATAATATCTAAATTTCAGTATTAGTTAAAAATTTTAGAGATCAATAGCTCCACTGTGTAAAAATAACTTAGCAAATAAAAACATAGAAGTAAAAGGTACCTGCTGTTGCTTGAAATCAGGCCTTTTTTTGATAAGATTATAAACAGTCACATATTTCATATATAGCACATAGGCCCTTTCCTCATCACGATCTAATCTGCTTTCTTCTGCGGTCTTGAAGATCTTCAGGGCACTCTGTACATAACTTAAAATGAGAGAAAAAGTAATTAAAACACTTGACATCTGGGGGGAAAAAGTCATGTATAAAGTCCACAGAGCCTCAATAAAATACATTTCATAATTTAGGTTGCACTACTTCAGAATTATACAAAGTTAGATATAAGTTTGGATGCAACATGAAAATTTCCCTTATACTACAATTAAATACTTATGTTTCATTAATAGTTGTTTGTATATCACCAAACTGTACAAAATGCATTCTAAATCCAGTTTTAAAAGATTTGCTACAATAGATAATCCTGAGGCAAATGGTCCTCCGGCATCCATATAATAGTCATACTCTATAAAGAACATAGCTGCATACTACTTGTACTGAAATAGGGGAGCTAAAATATTTATTATTTTAATGTTAAAACAAATACTTCTCAATTCTCCTTACTCCTTTCTAACCATGATGTAAAATTCTCCTCACCTAAAAACTCAAGAAACTAGGGACAGGAAAGGGGACATGAGTTCAATCTTTTAGAGTTTTCTACACAATGGCTGAACTGCAGTCTGATTCACTGGCCCTGAAAAGAGAAGAGATTTAAAGTCTAAAAACATGTCATCTTAAAATTCCACTTCAGTAAAATAATTTGAGGGGTCTACGGCATTCATTTATTTTTTCTTTAAATAAATTTATTTATTTATGGCTGCATTGGGTCTTCATTGCTGTGCGTGGGCTTTTCTCTAGTTGCAGAGAGCGTGGGCTACTCTTTGTTGCAGTGTGCTGGATTCTCATTGTGGTGGCTTCTCTTGTTGTGGAGCATGGGCTCTAGGTGCGTGGACTTCAGTAGTTGTGGCATGTGGGCTCAGTAGTTGTGGCTCACAGGCTCTAGAGCACAGGCTCAGTAGTTGTGGTGCATGGGCTTGCTTGCCCCACGGCATGTGGAATCTTTCTGGACCAGGGCTCGAACCCATGTCCTCTGCATTGGCAGGCGGATTCTTAACCACTGCGCCACTAGGGAAGTCCACTATGGTATTCATTCTAAGGACATTTTCCTGGTTTAACAGTCTTCAGAAAGCAAATTAATAAAACAGACATTTCTGCAAGAGGAATTCATTTACTTAGGACTAAAGTTTTGGCAACTAAGTTGTAGTGCCAATGTTAATACACAATATGCTTTATCAATAACTTATTTCTACAAATCAGTGCATCTTGTTTTCTATATTTTTCAAACTGTGCTCTACGATTGAGACATGGATTAGTGATGAAGTTGGTCAGGCCAAGGAACTAGATAGAACACCACACAAAGGAACAGGGCCAAACTGGTCTTTAAGACCAAAGATGGTCCTACACAAGGACAATTTCAGTCAGTGTGCATGCCCTGCTAAGCATGGCATCAAAGTTCCAGGATAGAGGTAAATCAAACCAAAGCTAGTAAGGAGATTCTCTAAGAGTTTAGGAGTGGGTACAACAGTCCTTAGGTTTTTCCAAATTTCTTTCATCATGATGCATGTATATCTCATGGGCCCATATGTAGCAGCAGGCCCAGCTGAGATGGCTGCAATGTCACTGTGGGTCCAGTAAACCAGCCAAATATCCTAAAAGGATTCTAGCATTCTCTAGAATAGTGCTACATGTTGTGGTGGTACATTTAGGCCAACATACCACTTCCTGTGGGATCAGGGTAGTCCTAGAGCTAAACCAGACATTGCTAAAACAGATTTATCTGTTTTAAGATTAGATGAAGCTCTCTGAGAAAGCTTCAGGGTGGTTTTACCCTTCTCACTATTTTCTATTTGAAAATCATTCAATGTGAGTTAAACAGCGCTACTTTCTCTATCACCCCATCAACATTACCAACTAAGCTCAAGAAGTAGGCCAATCCCTCTCTTATTCTTCCTATCCCTTCCCCACCCAAAGATCTTTTCAAAAGCCCATTTTATACTTAGTAATGTTTACGAGTATTAGTTCATTCTGGGATTTTCTTTCCTGACCTTCTTTAAAGTTCTTACTACTCTCCTGTCTTCATCCTTAATGTTTTATTTCCTTCCCATCTTGTTTATTTCCTCTAGAAAATGACTCATAAAGATGTTTCTGTGCAAACACAGGTTTAAGATGCCTCCTCACAGGTTCATTTGGGATCATACATATCATTTTTTAGAGCCTCACATTTATCTCCAGCCACAGAACACCTGTTTTCCCAGATTTCTAAAATCTGCTTACCTCAAGTGTAGAACACCTGTTTTCCCCGATTTCTAAAATCTGCTTACCTCAAGTGTAGGGTGTGAGGCTGGCTAGACCCACCTTTCTTTATTAAACTCTTACTCTCAGCTCTATAATAATATAGTTATATATCTCTAAATCTTCTCCTTTGTTGGTCAAAATAAATTCAGAGGAAAAGTTCCCCTATTGTCTCCTGTCCCTCCTTAACAGAAATAAAACTATCAACAAGTTAACAATTTTAGTGATATCCCATTTTTATAGCAAAATAACTTCCAGTAAATATCAAAATAGCTGGACCTTTCCATCTCTATTATATTTTACCTCAGAACAAATTCTGCAACTGTTATCAGGAAAGTATCATCTCTAACCTCTACCTCAACATGTAGTCTGCCCCAACACAGATAGACTACATGCCCTCAAAAATAAAAATACATAAAATAAATCATTAGGGGACTTTCCTGGTGGTGCAGCGACTCCACACTCCCAATGCAGAGGGCCTGGGTTTGATCCCTGGTTAGGGAACTAGATTCCACATGCATGCCACAACAAAGATCCCACGTACCGCGACTATGACCCGGCACAGCCAAATAAATAAATAATAAAACAAACAAACAAGACTTAAAAAAAAAAAAGAGGATATATAAGAATCCGCCTGCCATTGCAGGGGACATGGGTTTGATCCCTGGTCCAGGAACATGTCACAAGCCGTGGAGCAACTAAGCCCATGTGCCACAGCTACTGAGCCTGCACTCTAGAGCCCGTGTGCCACAACTACTGAGCCTGTGTGCCGCAACTACTGAAGCCCGCGTGCCTAGAGCCTGTGCTCCACAACAAGTGCACCACAACGAAGGGCAGCCCCCATTCACTGCAACTAGAGAAAGCCTGTGTGCAGCAATGAAGACCCAATGCAGCCATAAATAAGTAAAATAAATTTAAAAAAATAATTAGGTTAAAACTTCATGTCAAATTGGTATAAATACTTTGCTGAATACTGCATAAAAAATACGTATCTCTTCTTTTTTAATCAAAGACTATGCTAGAACCAGATCTTATATGTGAAATACACAAGGATAAAAATGATCTTTAATTAAGAAGTACTTTTACACTGTTTTAGGAAAAGATATTAACTGTGGCTGAATGAGTTTTGTAGAATCCTTGCAGTCTTCACCTCTTAAACTTATGATGTAACATACTGTCCAGAAAACAGATAATATGCTTATTAGCAGAATATATATGTATTCTGCCAAGATAAAATTAAGAACTTCTCTAACTCATTTAATAAAATGGAAATGAACTAAAAGTTCACAGTTATCCCCCACTTTTCAAAAGTTCACTTTACACCACTTTGCTTTTACAGAACACCTAAGTACCTTTTTTACTAATCGAAAGAAATACAGAGGCGATTTTTGCTTTCATGAAAAAAGTTGTTTCCTCACTTTATGCCATTTTGGCTTACAAAAGGCTTCATAGGAACACTCTACTTTTGAATAGTGGGGGATACCTGTATATGACTCAAATTAGCAAAGTATACACACTTCCTAGTGCTTATTTTCTCTGGTTTAACTTCTGTCTTCTTATTGAGGTCTTTTAGTGAAGAACTGAGGTAGAGTTCTTTAGGAACTGAAGCCACAGCAGGCATGATGAATAATCTTTACTTCTCCACTTTCACAATGGATGGTGTACTTCATTAAATGTAGTTCTTTTCTGAAACAAAATGAACACAAATAATCCCATTAGTTTTCCTCATTAACAATAAAACAAGTGAGCAGTTTAAAAAACAAACAAACCTCCTAAACTGTGTCCTTTGCTAAGAGTTAATTTTCAATTATCTTGAATATTTATTTTCTGAGTTCAATATACAGGGTATCAATAAACAATCTACTTTCCCCTCCAAATTTTCATTAACGAAATGAATTAGTTTGTATCATTTTGCATTAAGTATTAGGAATCTTTCCTGTCAAAGGAACAGAATAATAAAAGCTTTTATATTTTTCTTCTGTTAAATCTGCATTAACGTATAGTTTACAAATAGAAGGAAGTTTCATTTAAAAATATTTCTTTCTCATCAGTTTACAAAAGGAAACAAGTTGGGGGGAGGGATAGCCAGGGCACATTATATGAAGCTGGGGATGTATGAACATGTTTCTGGTAGAATACACCCAAATACTTTGGTTTACTTTGAAAAGGTCTTTGATGTTTCATGACATTCTTTGTTTTCTCATCTGCTCTGGTAAATTCTGACTGGGAAGATTGAGGTAGTAAAAAAAAAAATGAAGAAGAAAGGCTAGGTATGTAACAAGTTGTGTGTGTGTGTGTGTGTGTGTGTGTGTGTGTACCTATGCAGGGATGCATATAGATGGGGCAGATCAGCGGAGCACACTAAATGGGAATCTTGGCAAGATCATAAGTGTCACCAAATGAAAACTTCAGGAACCCAAGTAAATTTATACAAGGTCTTCAGTTGTAAAGAACTAATTACAATTTGAATAAATAGCTGCATTAATACATTTAAGAGATTACAACATTTTTTGATACAGCCACTATGGAAAACAGTATGGCGGTTCCTCAGAAAACTAAAAATAGAATTACCATATGATCCAGCAATCCCACTCCTGGGAATATACCCGGTCAAAACTATAATACAAAAAGAAACATACACCCCTATGTTCATAGTAGCACTATTCACAAGAGCCAAAACATGGAAACAACCTAAATGTCCATTGACAGATGAATGGATAAAGATGTGGTAACATATATACAACGGAATACTCAGCCATAAAAAAGAACAAAGTGATGTCATTTGCAGCAACATGGATGCAACTAGAGATTATCATACTAAGTGAACTAAGTCAGAAAGAGAAAGACAAATACCATATGATATCACTTATATGTGGAATCTAAAATATGGCACAAAGGAACCTATCAACAAAACAGAAACAGACTCACAGACATAGAGAACAGACTTGTGGTTGCCGAGTGGGGGAGAGAGAGGGATGGACTAGGAATTTGGGGCTGGTAGATGCAAACTATTATATTTTAAATGGATAACAACAAGGTCCTAATGTATAGCACAGGGAACTATATTCAATATCCTGTGATAAACCATAATGGAAAAGAGTATAAAAAAAATGTATGTATGCGTAAAATTGAGTCACTTTGCTGTACAGCAGAGACTGGCACAACACTGTAAATCATCTATACTTCCAATTTAAAGAAAAGAGAGATTACAACTTTTTTTCTACCACTTATTTCCACTACCTTAATGCTCTTCATTCTATCAGTTCACTATTATTAGACGAATGGACATCAATGAACATTGAATCCTAAAATGCTGAGTAAGGTACAACTTTAGGGGCGAAAAGGCTTCTGTTCACCTATGTGAAACTCCAAAAGCACCCCAATTTGCTGTGATTCTTGTCACATTTTATATTAAATATTAATACTTTCTCATTTCTTGATTAGGTATATAATTCATCAACTGCACCACCAAAACAGCTAAGAGCATCCATTACAGAATATGATAGGGATCCCCTGGATTTCCTCATACTTATACAGACAACAGTATTGAGTGTCTTACCTTGTAAAAAACCATTATGTTACATGTTAAAGACACGAAGGATACATAAGAAGTGGTTCCTGACCTTCCAGGATAAACAGTTTAACAAGAGAACATTCCCTACTCCCCCATGCTCACCACCTCCTCAACCCCTGCTTATCCCCCTAAAGCTGAGTGAAAAAGTTGACACGTGACACCATTTGTAAGAAGTTTTAAAACAAACTAAACTGAGCAATATATTGCTTAAGGATACAAATCAGATAAATTTATAAAGGTAGGAAATGGTAAATATAAAATTCTATTTCTGGAGAGGTAGAAGATACAATAAGGGAGGCACACACAAAGAGCTTCAGCGATATGTAAGGTTTTATTTCTCAAGTTGGGTGGTATGTTCACATATGCTCAGAGATGACTGTTTTGTTTTATGTATTTATTGAAGTATAACTGATGTACAACATTATATGTTGCAGGTGTACAATATAGTGATTCACAATTTTTAAAGGTTATATTCCATTTATAGTTATTACAAAATATTGGCTATATTCCCTGTTGTACAATATATCCTTGTAGCTTATTTTACATATAATAGTTTGTACAGATGATCGTTTTATTATCAGGCTTTTATAACAAAATAATATGTAATATACTTAATGTATTTCATCAAAAATTTTTAAAGAAAGCAATTATATAACAATGCAAATATGAATAAATTGTCTACAAATATGAAAAGAATACCCAGAGAGATGTAAAAGTTAGGAAGTTATGGTTGAAACAAGCAAACATAAAATATATATGTTTTTAAATACTCATTAAGAAAAAAACAGATTTGGAATATTTTAAGAGCCTAGTATATATAACCTCGTTGAGCACAGCTTCCATACAGTGGTGTGAGTGGAAGCAAGAGCACAAGCATTAAGGAATAAAGAAATGGAAGTAGACTGTAGATAACTTTAAAAAAAATTGGCAATGAAAAAGAAAATGATGGGATAGAGTGGTAGTTCAGGAACATGATTTCTACTGAAACATAAGCAACAGTTGAGAAATAATATTTTTGACTAAGGGAAAGCACAGTAAGGCCAAGAAACTAACTTTTCAGGAAGGTGCTTAAGGAAACTTGAGTCCTTACTGATGCCACAACAGACACCATGGTGGCAGAGGGCAGGGGATGTTGGAGCTTGGACTACTAAGGAGGGCTAAAGGACAGTAAGATAATAGTAACAAGAGTTATCCCTGACTTTTCTGCCCCCACCTAGCTCAGCTAGGATCTTAAGCTTACTCAACCACGATAAGCCAACATATGCTCCCCTGATATAGGCTAGCTCTTGAAATGTAATTTCCAAAAAGCCCAATGATTTTTTACTGGCAACACTAAATGTACTAAGATAAGGATTAATGCCAGAGTTAGGCAGAGTGGCCTCGTACCAGTCTGACAGTATCTGTTTTTCCTACTCTATCCTTTACCTGCGTCTTAAGTATTAATGGTCTAACCACAGGACATATATTCAAAAAGTCAGGTAGAGTCTATTTTGTTGATTCATGACAATTAGGTTTCTTGGTTGGGAAAAGAAAGCTATTTATTTGAACCCTCTAAAATGAAGGTCTAGAATATGTCTCAGTCAAATCTTTTTCTCATCATTACCTTTAAAGCTTGGATCTTTAAAAGACAAAAGAATATAAAAACTATATATGCTACCTAGGCAACTTAAAATAATAAATCATTAGCTATTTCAAAGTTAAATTCCATTCAAACATTCACAGGCATCCTACTGTACAGAAGACATTGTGCTCCCAGGAACTCAAAAATTAGATGTGATCCATTTCCTCACAAAGTTTAAAAAACTAACGTGAAAGAGAAAGTTGTAAGCAGTGTTAATACAACATGTATTATATCAAACTATAAAGAGTTACAAATAATGTACAATAAGAAAAATTAACAAGATCAAGTATGACTAGAGGGATCTTGTGAGGCATCATGGAAGAGATAGCATTTCTGTGAGTCTTGGTGAGAGAAGGCTTTTGATAGAGATGAGAAAGAGTTTGAGGAAAATGTCAAAAAAGTAAAGAACATCTTTAGGAACTAGCTAGTATACAGAATCAACAAGGATTTGCTAGGCAGTAAGGCCTGAAAAATAGTCTAGGAACAGATAAATGGAAGGCTGTGAATGTCACATTAAAGCATTTACTTTGTTTTCTAAAGGTAACAGAGAACCAGAGCAGGATTCTAAGAACAGAGTTATATGATCTAAACTAACAGTACAAGGTTAGGCTTTAAAAGACTGGAGATAAGGAAGACATTAGTTACCCATAATAATGATCCTAAGGAAAGATGATGAAGGTCAGAACTAGGGCAGTAGAGATGGAATGGAGGAGGCAGACAGATACTAGAGACACTGCAAAGGTAGAATGACAGGACTCCGATTGAGTGACAACCGATCAGACACACCAATGGAAACTACAGGGATAAGATTATGATACAACGAAGTTTTAATGAGGGTTTCCAGGAAAAAGATTGTGCTTTTTTAAAGTTACTTTTTCTGTCCTTATTTGATTTTTGAGAACAGCTGAAATAAAGAACTTGCTCTGATAATGTCATGAAAGGACCACAGTTGTTTCCATTTTCCTTCATTAAATTATATGTTATGCTGTCAAATAAGATGCCTGGTGTTAAAAATACTTCCAGTATTGCCTTAATTGCTATTTTAGCTTCTACAATCACATATACTTCTGCAGAAATCAAAGCACAAGGTAAAGGGTATTTTTCCCTAATCATATGAGAAAGCAAAGAATACATATCCAACTTAAATGTATGTAAACTTTAATGTATTAAATTTTTGATAAGTCATTCTGCTGCATTTTGCCATTAAAGAAATTTCAAAAGAGACTGGCATAAAATAACTTAAGGCCAGAATGACTGAATGGATTTACAATTTCCTTATTTTGGCTGCAACAGTAAAAACAAACCCACTGATACTTATACAGGAATGTTCAATAACTACAGAACTCAAATAATTTTAAAATCTATTTGTTTAGCTCTAGAACTAAATACAACATATAACCCACTAAAACTATGTTATACTTCAAGAAGGATTGTAAGTACAAAAAATAAAATAACTAAGTATATGTAAGAAAAAGTTCTCCTAAAAAAAAA